AGTCCTGGGGAGGCACCTGACCCCACACAGAGTTTGGGTCATACACCTGCCCTTCCTGCTTCCTAATGCTCTCAACACCCACCCACCCCCATCTCCTCAGGACCCAACCATCTGCCTGCCCCAGGAAGCTGATTTAGGAAGACTCCGGGGCATGCGCAGGGCTGTGCTGGGGCAGGGGACTGTGGTCGTGGTGTTTACTCACTCAGGTAAGCCGTGGCGGCAGTCACTGAAAAAAGAAGCCAAAGGGCAGTCATGAGCTGTGGGCCTTGGGTGTCCTGTTCCCAACACCTGTGCCTTTTGCCTGTCTGGGGGCTACCAGTGCACAGTGAAACCCCAGCACTGACAGACAGAGGGTGGGGATGTGAGCCTTAGCTTAGGCTATAGAAATGGGGGCATGCCCGGGAGCTTCTTTCTAGGACTGGCGGTGATATGGTGCGATTTTAAGGCCAAGGGCGTGGCACTTTGATATGGCTAAAATGCAAGCCATCAGATGGTCAGCTTGTCTGTCCTGAGTAATGCTCACAGCTGATCCTGCCCGCCACCTCTTGAACCCTGCCCCATCCCGTGTTGTGGTGCGATGAGGCTTACAGCTGTCCTTGGTAGTAACACACACACACACACACACACACACACACACCATATGCACATACACACCAGTGATGTGCAGTACTGTTCTAAGGGGAAAGCTGGATGGAGGGGAAGCAGGTAGGGGCTGGGGTAGCTTTGCCTGGTGGAGATGGGCTTTTGAGGGTGATGCTCCAATTTTATGAGGAGAGAAACACAGGATGCTGTGAATTCCAGCTCAGGCACTGCAACAAGTCTGCCTGGGCCAATGCCCTGGCTCAGCCACCTGTGGACGGAGTCCTTGCGCACACAGACCTACCTCTGTGCCTCAGTTTCCTCACAGTAAAATGATAGCCTTACTCAGAGGGTTGCCCTGGACTCATCAAGTGTGATGCCTGATGTGGGACCTGCTCCTTTTGCAGGCCACAGAATACTCTCCTACTGACTGTCCCTCCTTGGACAGAGGAAGCCACCTCCAATCAATGGACAAGAGCCCTGGCGCTCAGAGCGGGGCAGAGCCAGGGCCAAAGTTGCTCATGAGTGGGCAGCAGAGCTGGGACCTGAGCCCAGGCGAGCTCAGAAAGGCCTCCTGGGTTCTCTCTTGTCTCCCTCCCGAGACCCCACCCAGCTGCTGGCTGAAGCTCACCTGCTTCCTCGGGCCCTGTGAGGGAAGAAGAGGAGAAATGTGTTAGAAACCTCAGACTCCTGGGTTCTGGGCCAAAGTTTTCAATATGCTGCCTGTCCATCCAGCCCCAGGCTGTGGGCCTCCCAGCAGCCAGCTGTGCTCCCAGAACCAAGAACTCCTGGCCTGGCCTGGACCAGCACTTTGCCTCCCATAACCCCGATGCCCCCAATGCCCACACCCCCAGCCTGTGTGGCCAGTTGTGGGATACTCAGGACTCCCGTCTTGGGGTATGGAGAGCAGGCCTGGTCCTAGCCTCCAGCTCTCAGAGCCTCTTACTCTAGCCATCCCTAGACGAGTGCTCAGGGCCTAGCTTTAAGGCTGGGAGTGCTTCTTCCTGTCTAACTGAGCCCTTCCACGATGCAGCCTAAGTCCCTCTCCCGGAAGTGACCCTGGGCAGGGTCCTCACTCCTGTACTCATATCCCTTTAGAGACTCAGAGGCTCCTGATCACCCCACCCCCACTGTCCACGCTGCTGGCTTCACTCCCTCCACACACGCTCCCGAGCGCTTGGCCAGCTTTCATTCAGTGCCCCTGGGCCTGCTCCTCTTCAGGGGGGCTGGGTCTCCCAGCCTGGCCCACTCCTCTCAGGACCCCCAAGGCCCCGGTCCTAGAGGAAGGCCTCCCAGTTCTGGCCTTCACTCCCCGTGTCCACCTTCGCCAGGCTTGTCAGCAATAGCCATCTGGTTGTCACTGTCCTCAGGCTTGGTCACCACCATGGAGGTCAGTGGAGTCACAAAGTGGTACTTGAGGGACAGGTCCAGGGCCTGGGCTGTGAGGTTCTCCTTCTCACTTCCATGGGCGTTCTTGCTGTAGGGAGGGGCATGGCGAGAGGGTCAGCCTGGAGCTCAGCTCCCTGCCTATCGTCCCTACATTGACCCCCAGCACCAGGCCAGGAGCCCCAGTGGCAACCCAGGACCCCCTAAGACTAGGGTGGAGCTTGCTAGAGCTCAGAAAATACTGGTTCACCAGCTCCCTCGGACAGATGGACAGCTGTGCTTCCTCTCTGAGGGGCCTCCGTCTCCCCAGCTATAACATATAAGAGGCTTACAATGGCCACTGCAACAGCCCCTTCTGGTGAGTGCTCAGCAGGCACCAGGCCCTGCACCAGGGACTTCACAGGCTAGTCCCTCCTAAAAGGAGCTGACATGCCTCTCCAATGGGCCCTGGCTCTGCCCTCTGAGGACTGAGGGCATCGCCCGCCATCGCTGTCCACGGATGTCAGGCTGGGCTCTGCCCTGGACAACATTCTGATGGATTTGGGAGAAAAGAGGGCAGATCAGCCAGGCATGTGCCTGGGGTGCACTTCCCGGGTGTGGCCAGGTCATCTTCCTCTTGGGCACCCGCAGAGCAGAGCCTGCCAGGGGCAGGCACAGGGAGAGGCTGGGGCAGTGCCAGGGCCCAGTGTGGGGCCCGGCTCTGTGAGGGGTGGTCCTGGGTCACCGTTTGTCCAGCAGCTGCTCAATGGTGAGGTAGGCCCAGAGCCGCTCAATGTAGCTCCCGAAAATGTAGTCCTGCTCCTGCAGGGCCTTCTCCATCTCCTTCAAGTCCACCTCCTCCGTGAAGGTCAGGTCAGTGAGCGCCTGGGGCAGGGATGGGACAAGGTGAGAGGCGCAAGGAATGGAGGCCTGAAGCCAGGTGGGCCAGTTCAGTTCAGGGGCTGCCATGCTGGACAGGCA